AAATGTTTTGACACCTAAAACCCTCTAAACACTCAAAACTAAATCCTAATAGAACATAATTAACCCAAACATAAATAATATAAAGAAAAAATAATTTTGAAAAAGTGGCATTTTTGTAAAAATTTCAAAAGTGTGGCATTTTTATAAAATGACACTTGAAAAGTGGTATTTTTTGAAATTTCTCATGATAAAATCTTATAACAATTAAAATATTATAGATTTAAATTATAAAACAATAAATTTATGTGAATAGTCTCATAAAAACATATTATATATAAATCTATTATTGATAAATGTCATTGATGTCATTGGTATATTTTTCATAGAGATCTATAGTCGTCAAATCTTACACTTTTGGATCTTAACAGTAAATATATTATTATTATTTTATAACATGTATAAGTTTTCATTTTACATATATATATTTTTTAACATTGAAAAGTATAGGTAGAAGATTTATATTGTTTTTGTAATATTCTATAACTATGTTTATAGAGTAAATATGTTTATAGATTTTTTTTTTCTTTGGTATGTTTGTGCATATAAACTTTAACATTGAGATTTTCTTTTTAATTTTTTTTTAATTTTAAAAAAAAAATTTTTATCATTCATATTTGTTTCTTAATTTAAATTTCTATTTCCTCTCTACTTTTTTTTTATTGTTTATAGTCTCTCTATTTTATTTCCTAATTTAATTTTTATAATTTGTTTAAACTATTTTAATTATTTTTCCTAACTATTTGAGATTATTTTTTTTTAAACTATTTGGTTTGTTGTTTTAACAATTGTTATATTCGTTTTTCATTTTAATTTTACTTTTTCTTAGTTAATTTTAAATTCTAACACATGTCATCATCTAATCAATATTGGACACAGGTTATGATCTAGTGAATTATGACTTTGCTTAAGTGTCAAACTCTCGTCGATAATATTTTCTTGATTATTTTTATATATCTTTAATTAATTTTAAGTGTTAACACATGACATCATCTGATCAATATTGAACATATGTCATGGTCTGGTAAATTAGAATTTTGTCTACGTGTCAAGCTCTTATCGCGCATATCCTCATTTCTATAATAAGATATGGTATTACCAATTTATCTAGCCAAACATAAAATTTTGATAATATTCTCTATCAAAAGGATTCAAATTATACCTATTACACCAATCTTGTTTTATCTTTAAATTAATTTTATCCC